AGATGAGGTGACTCGTATGTTAAGGTTAAAGCTGGGAGACCGATGTGTGCCTCAGTGGGTAGGGGGGCTAGGTTGAGGGCGGGGGGAGCTCTGGGATCACGGGTTCGAGCCTGGGTCGTGTCGCTAGCCGACTGTGACCCGGGTGCCTCGTGTGGCAATGCGCCGCTGTCGACGTGACGCAGAGGGAAGAGTCGGATTAGATGTTCAGGGCTCTCTCGGCTCTCGGCAACAAAGCCATCCCTGTGACCTCCCAGGCACTTGCAGGCATACAGGCCTGTAGATGAGGGACGGGTATCTCCTCCAATCAGCACTGATTCTCCTGTACGGGTGGTGCTACACAATGTGTAAAAAGGCGATTGGCTTGAAGATGGGTGGGTTGGGTTGAGTCTACGTATGTGTCCTCATTCTTCCCTGTGTGCGATTGCAGGGTTCTTAGCTATGAGCTCTTATGGGGAAAAGCATTATCTAATAATGCATCAGCAGCTGGCTAATTGTTCTGTGCCTGTAAAAGTGAGGTCTGGCGATTGACCTTTCCTAAAGTTGTTGAGTACGAAGTAATATCTTGGCTTAAGTCCTGAGAATTTAAGGAAACTGGCCGTTGGCACATACTGTACACAGGATCAGAAACGTTTTTTTTGACGGAACGTATTGTATGCAGTTTTCCTCTGAGATGTAACAGTATACAATCTGCAATTTGTCTTTAGACCACCTTAGTAAAAAAAAAAAACACAGAAGATTTAATCTAGTAAGATTTAGTCACCCGTTAGAAAGCCACTGCATAGAGTTATTTTTCGTTTGACAGTTTTCATTTGTCAATAAGTGTGTTTTTTTAAAAAGTTAAAAAGCATAACCTGAAGTTTAAACCTTTTTTGATTCTTGTTTGACACCTTCTGTCTTTGGCTACAGGCAAATGGGCACGAATTTTACTTTCCATTTACGGAAAAGCTATAGTGGAAGATTTCATTCTTTAGATCACGTAATGGGAACATTGGAATCTTTTAAAATTAACATCATCCCTTGAAGTTCTTGTTTTTATGTTGTTGGCGCTTTTGATTCAGATCTCAGATTTCAGTCTCTGTTCAAGAGGATGTGGGTTGAGAAAGCTGCTACTTGTCCTTTAAGAGTGTTTGTGACCAATAAAATTACTAACTGCTTTTCGCTTGAAGATAACTGCATAACTGACTTTTGCAACAGCATATTCTCTTCTAGTTATTTTATTGGCATGGTAACAGTTGCTCATGCTTGGGTTTTGCCATTAATATGTTTCTACCATATGCTGAGCACAAAATT